CGCACATTCGCGTGGGCGGTGCTTAAACATCCAGCAAAGACGCTTCAAAGATCGCAAATGAAATTACCCGAAGATTTAATTGGATATTAATAATAACGATGTTTGAAGAACGGTGAAATTTCAAGAAAGGAAATTTCAGAATATTTGGATGGAAAATGTAGGCTTCTTGAAAGTTTCCCGTTTGGAAATTTCAGAGCCTATTTTTCATCGATGCACCGATGCGCTTGGGTGCAATGTAGGTCTGCGATTTGCTTTCAATCTTGGGCGAACCAAGAGAGGGCCTAAGAACTTTTATGCTATTTTTTCTTTCCAATATACGAAAGTCTTTCGTTTGGAAATTTCACTGCCTATTTTTCATCGATGCACCCATGCACCGTTGCACTTAGGTGCAACGCAGGCACATTGATTTGTTTTCAATCTCGCGGGGGAGTCTAAGAAATTTTACATTTTCTTTCTTTTTTCCTGTTCAATATTACGACTAACTTTCGAACGTGGCTATCGCCTTAATCTCACTTGAGTGGACGAAATTTTGTACGAACGAGCCGTGCACACACCTAAGGGGGCCACTTTTGATTGCGGTGCATCGATCAGATTCCCTGGGAGCTTACACGCGCGTTCAACGCGGATTCTCCGAATGTTTATAAACGCCAATAACAGCGGGGAATTTAATGGGAATCGTTTCAGCTATTTCAACGGATACGTTTTGCCAAGTAAAGTCGATTCGTATCCGTGGTCAAACAACCGAACTGGACCAAACCGCTTGGACAATGGAAACTGGAATCGAAGGAACTTGCTTTTTTTATTCCGTTGTTGCTACAGGGCTTTCCGTTTTAAGCTCCCTACTGTATCTATATGCAATTCCCGGCTTACGTGCACTCGAATGCACGTGCAGTTTTCAGATGTAACTTCGTTTAATTCGCTAGAATTAATCACTGGAAATTTGACACACAATTAATGATAGGTATCGGATTTATCGTTTTATAAAATAAAATGCGTCATACGGTTAATCGAAATTTTGTTGAACGTTGATACTTTATACTTTGACGATGAATATCCATTTCCAACCCTTTATCGGCAAAACCAGATCTTCCTACCAAATTTTCATTTCCACAGAAAAGAATTTGGAACGTTTGACTTAACGAGCAATTATATAAATAAAATAGTGAAAATCTGGAATTTTTGCAGATTTTTGAAAAGTTAAAATAACACAAATGACCCAGTTTGCTGATGGTGTATGAAAAAAATGCTTCTCTACGAACGGTTAAAATAAATACGGGATGTTTGTGTGCTATACATCATTTATGTATTTTTTCAATTTATTTAAATTGTTAACTTTCCTTTGCCCGGGAAAAACAGATATTGTTTCCAGATTATTGCAAAACTGAATATTGTAAATAAAAAAAAAAAAAAACGTGCAGCACACATCGGCTATTTAATTGCAACAATACAGATACCGTTGAATTCGAAGTTTTCGAAGCGGGATATTTTTGAAATGAAATTGAATTTTTGATTCATATTTGGTAATCAATATTTCCCTGCCGTCCAATTGCTTCCCCATAGTCAGCAAGCAAATGAGTCACATAGGATTAAACGAGGAATAAAATGTAAAATATTGATAAGCGATTATGTTTGAAAACATTCGTACGACAGTAGCTTTATTAAATTAATTGCACGGTATCGGTTTCTAAATTTGATCTCTTCTTTTTTTCCAATTCGAAAGTCATATTTTCCAAGCAAAATGGACAGAAAACAGGATCGATTAATTATTCGTCGTATATTCTCATTCGCGTCGATAAATATTAAATTTAATCACGTTTACGTATGTATGTATGTGCTTGCGTACACGAAGTACTCGCAAATTACATCGTCATAAATTTTGCTTACCTACCTAAGTACATTTTAGTTTACCTAACAAGTTAAGCGCAATACAAATATGAAATTTCATTAAAATTAACGTAGAAACTCTGGATGGAATAATCTGTAAGTGAATATGCACGTGTGCGGTCAGACGGACGTCAGTATATCTGAAAATTTCGGGTACCCGTACCTCGGGTCGAGTCGTACTCGGCTGTCGAGTTGATATCCGTGTGTAAATTAACAAACTATGTACTCTCGTCGGGAAATTGCAATTTCAACTTTCCTCGAAAGGAAGCGTGTCAACGAGCCTAAGAAGCGTGGAAGAAAGTAGACAGCAACGTCAGAGGATCTCCGAAAAGTTATGTTTAACTAATAAAAGGAACGTCGTCAAGAAAGTAGGAAAGCCAGTCGGACGGAAATAAATGAAACAGCAGCGTGGCTCGTAGACGAAGTTCACGGCAAAGTTTAACGAACTGACCAAGAACATAATAGGCTAAGGAGCTGGCCCCAGTGCCGGGACATTGATAAATGGATACGCCGGGTGTAATCGAGTGATTAAGGAATTGATTCATAAGTTTCGTGCCACGGTGTGTACCGATTCGATCCGAACGGAGAGACTCCATGGAAACGGGTCGGTCAGGGATGAAGTAAGAAGTAACGACAAAAGGACGAGTTTGGGGAAAGAGATAAAAAAAAGAATGGGAAAGTTCGAACCGGACGAAAAGAGCAAAGTGAGAGAAGAAAGGGGACAGGGAAAGAAAAAAGCGTGAACGAGGGTTGAAAACTTTTTTTATCGGCTAATTAATTCATTGTCTCGTAGAACAGGGGGATGAAACGATATCGAGCCGAGGGGTAAAAAACAACGAAACTTTTATCGACGAAGGGTGGAATTTGGAGTTACGTCCTTCGAAATTATCTGGATTTTTTAGCAAAATGTCCAGCGATCGAGCGTGGAATGACCCAATCCTGGTCAACCGAGCGATACCCATGTATCATTCAACCCCTTAGGAGAGGGAGTGCAGAGAAATAAATTTATCTCGCGCAGGAACATTTATTTTTCAATCGGGAACGATTAAACGTTGGTACGACGGCGAGATGAAAAATCATTTCGTCGGATTGGCGTAAAAAATGGAGTGGTTCTCGTTGAATCCGCGCGCAGCCGAAGGAGGGTTGGCGATGGTAGAAATAATTGAAAGAACCGAGAAAGCGGTGAGGAAGAAAAAAAATATTGACGGAGACAAGAAGAAGAGGTCGAAGGGTTGCTGTGGTCGTTGACTGACAAAAAAAAAAAAAAAAAAGAAAAAAGAAGGGAACAGATAAAGCCGTACTGCTGGAAAGGATTAGAAATAGCAAAATAAAAAATATAAACCAGAGAGAGAAAGTGCAGGGTAGGTGTTGACTGCCTAGATGGAAGAAATGACGTGAAAGGGAGACAAAACTGAAACGATACGGAAGGGTTTGAAGAGGAGTAAGGCGAGATAAATAACGAGATGCAAGAGGAATGACACGATGAAGCGACAAAGAGCGTGTAAAGTCGATAGTGAGGAATAAAGAGGGAGGGTTGCTGGGTAGAAAAGGAGAGGGTTGAACGAGGAGGAAAACTCGCTGGGAAATTGTGTGTGCCTGGCTGTGGAGGATAGTGCGAAAGTGGGCGTGTTGTAGCTTGGAAGGTGACAGAGATAATGGTCGCGACGAAGAGCGAGGGTATAAAAATGAGTGAAAGACAGTGTGTAAGGCTGGGAATTGTAAAGACAGACGCGGTGGTACACAAAGAGCTGAGCTGCCAGAAGAGAACTGACACCCTTAAGAAGGATGGACGTGAAAGACAATGCACCTGCGAGAGAGGAAGCTGCGTGAGAGAAAGAACAGTACCGTAGATAATTCAAGAGAGAGAAAACGATGGGGAAGGGAAGGGAAGTAGAATCGTAGAACAGAATGTAGAGAAGACGAAAAACAAAAGGGCCATGCATGCAAAGGAATTGAAAAGAAGAAAAAGATAAAGTAACTGGGGAGAGAATTAGGGAAAGGTGCAGGGTATTAGGTGCGCGTTGAAGAGAAAGGCTTGTTTTATTCATCCTATAAGACATTGCCTTCTTATAGAGTAAAGAGGGTGTCTCAAAAATAAAGTGTGAATCGTAAGAATTTTCAGGACTGAAAATTGGAAAAATAAGGATAAAAATGTTAATAATGCAAGGATGCGTCGCGATGATAGAAAATTGAATATCACGATTCGGGGTAGCCGAAAAGGAAAAGTTTGAGGATAGCTGTGAAAACTATTTCCTGAAATTTGAACGTGATCAAAATTCAACGAGGGCGTAAATTTGTAAAGACTCAGGAGAGCTTATTCGCGTTCCGGTATACGCCGACACCAGTACCAGCCACCTTTCCTTTTTTTACCCCCGAAATGTAATTGAATAATTCATTTCGTAAACTACGACTTGAATAATATCGTTTCTGCTCGGTAGAATTCGCTCGGCGATGCGCTCGGTGTAAGAGGTATTAAAAGGAAGAGGGAGAAATTAAAAACAAATTGAAACAAAGACACAGACAAGCGCGTGGGAGGAAAAGAAAAAGTAAACGAGAAAATTAACCTTGCTCCAACTTCCCTCGAATATCCCTTTAACCTAGTTAGACGAAATTATATAATCGAGTGCTCGATACGACTACTTGACTCGACCCTGCATCGCGAACAATGTTCATAACTCACCCACATACCTAGGCCGGAAAAATCTAGCCTCACCCTTTTTGCTGGTTACCTCGTTATCGCTTCGCCGTTTTCGACGAGACTTCAAAACTCCGCCTCTCCCTTTTCCCGTTCCGTATTGAATTTGTTTAAATTCACAGGTTAAACCGTGTACCATACAGTTGTCGTTAATCGATCGTTTTAACCGGATTCCTGGATATGCATACGCGATGCGAAAAGCGAGATAGCAGGTTCCGTTTTCGAATTGAAGTTACATTCGTCTGTACCGCGTGTCCTCTCGCTAATGGTGATCAATAACGTTCTGGCTGGCCTACTTTCCTTCCTTTCTTTCATCGCGGTATAATTTATACGAGGGAGTATAAAATAATTTGCACCAGCAACACATATACAAATGCATAGATCCACACAGAGATTGATTAAACACATGCGATAGACGTACCTCGTGATTGTGGGTCCAATAAATGGCGCTCGGTGGTTCTGGACTGTGACGTATCACACAGGTTAGGTTCATAGTGCTGCCTTTGTTTATGAACATTTCTGGTTCGCCGACGATCGATGTGACAGGTTCTGTGTAATAAACGAAAATAAAAAAATCCTGTCATAAATCAAGCGCCATGATAATTTAGTCGAATATCAAAGCGAAATAAAATACAAGGATGCAGAGGAACATGTGGGAATAAAAGCAACAGAAATGAAATGTACGCCATGTTGTTTTCTATTACGTTCAGATTCGTTTGGCGTGAGAAAACACAAATTAGCTGCAGGCAAGAAAACAAACAGGTTTAATTGAAATTCGAAACAAATTTGGAAGTAAAAAAAAAAAGGATAGAAACACAAAACACTACTGAAACACTCGTTTCGTGTAAACTTGATTCTCGTCGGGCAACGAAATAACACGATTAAAGGTTAGAGATCCTAATAGAACCCCGGGTGAAAATAAAATGAACGGTTACTGGCATTGAAACAACAGCGACGACGAGCGAAATTAAACGATAAGATTACGAAAGGAAAATCGACACGACGAAAGAATAAAAAACGAATAAAAAAGGATGTTCAACGAACCTACAACCGAGAGATGCATGGAATGACCGATCGGAGGTGTGGTTGACACTTGACATTCGTAAGTCCCTGAGTCACGTCGTTGAGGATATTTTACTTGAAGAGTCCAGTCTTCAGTTCTAGGAAAGTGTGATGCCACAAATCGTTGATCCGAAGTGTATGTTTGAATCCCGATAGTCAAAAGATGAATATCCCTGTGCCTCACCCATGACACCTATGCGATACACATAAATCGTACAAATTTGTTAACTCGTTCAATAAACGAATAACTATTAAAAAACACAAACTAGTAAAGGAACAGCTCACGGTTTTCTCTTGTGAAATACAATTAAATGTGTATTATTCATAAAAACGCAACTACATGACCGCTTGCTTGAAAATGTCGTATACGACTGACTTCATTCTAAATGTATGGCGGTTTGTTCAGTGATAACTTCACATCTTTAAATCTGACAGGATCGCCATGCTATTTTCCTCGATAAATACACCACTATTTCACATGAACGAGCTTGCAACGTGATTCTAAATAATGAAGCACTTATCGGCATGCAATTTTGCGTGCAGATCTGTTTAAGGCCGAAATTCAAACTCTTGCTCAACTATTCGAGTGAGTAACGTTTGAAATTGATTCTATCTTTGATATCGGATCGGCGCTATGCGTTGAATAATCGAGATACAGATCGATCGACTTATTCATTTCTATCTGTGCGTCGAATAATTTGCGTATTTTTTTAATGCCGCAATATTTTTTGGCATTAATTCGAATAACAGACTTTTGTTCCCCCGAGAATAATGGTACGAACTCATTGTATCACGTTTCATGGAAATGATGAAAACTACGCAGTGTCGTATCTAACACCGGCCAAATGGGGCGCTTGTTTAGGGCTCATATTCATGACCTTTCGTATTTTTTGAAAATTACCGAATTCATTGAAATTCTGTAATCTAGAATTTATCTCGAATTTATAGCATGTGCGAAAAACACCCGCTGCACATTTCGCATCGATGATGCGTATTCGGGCGAACACGATCCCGCAAGAAATGCATTGTTACCGCGAACAACAACGATTCCATGAAAAGCTCTAATTAATGCTCGTTGTAACGCATCCTATGATGTGTTTGCAAACATCAATTTGAGTCCGTCGTGACACCGATTGTTGCCGGGTAAATAATTATTAACGTTATCCGCTTGGTGACAAACTTTTTGTCTGTGTGCAGACGTATGTTACGTGTACACGCTTGACACGAGGAGAATCCGTTGAATATGCATTATTCGATGTACTCGGTGTAGTTATAGAGTCCGGTAAAATGGTCGTACTTCACGCCTTCAGCGAGCATCATTGATTGCCTGCTGATGGTTTAATACCATCTGTTGTGTTACGCCTCGTTAAATCGTTCGTTTCCTCGTGTACGCGTGGCTACTTCTAAACAGATTATACATTAATATTTGGTACATACATATGTACCAATAATCGGTAGGACATTCTGAGCACACAAAGGAATACACCATTCGCAACGGATAACCTTTCTGCGCTCGATGAAAAGCCACCACAGTCGGCTTACTTAAGAACCCCACCGCTACCGACCGACCATTTAAAAATTCAAGTGCAGCTTAAGGTATTACATGAAATTAAAAATGAATCGAAACAAACATCTCCTTGGTTGTACAGAGAACCATAGCGTTCTGTTTAAGACTTTAAGCGGACTACGCAGCTTTCGAAACTACGTTAGCCGATAAATTATTTACGAACGCCGGAAGTAGCTCGATGGAAACCCGTTGCACGCGTTTACCCCGAACCACGTGACCTTTACATATGTGTACGTTTCCTGTATAACGCGATTCTTCGCCAACGAGAAACTTCGCGAGACGGTGAGAAAGAAATATTTCTAAAAACAACGCGTGTGCGGTATTATCGGTGTTTTGTGAGAGAAAAAGAGATAAGTAAAGAGAAAACGCAAGGAGCGAGAAGTGAGTTGACGACGAATGCCGCGCGCGCGATATAAAAACTGCACGGTAAAAAACAAAGCAAAGCCTTCTGTTTTACTTTAATTCCTCCGGCGAACACGGGAACGAAGTACGAACAAACGACGCGAAAAACGAAACTTTGCTCTTTCGTTGGTTCGGTATTACGAAGCAAGCTTCGAACTGTTATACGGTTACCTCTTGATGGGCCAACTTAAATTGTACCCCCCTCTTTTGTATTATACGCGACCTGGGCTGTCTGCTCGTTCGCCCCCTTTCTCCTCCAGCATTAATCTCTTAATGCCAGTTCGTTTACGGTTCGTGCACAAGAACACGCGTCGGTATTCTATCAATCTCTTGCCGTGATTACAAGAATCTCGTCTCGTTACTGAATTTTCATCATTGTTCGCGATAGTCGATAATCCTCTTTGATCCTGAACATCTATTTATTCGAGCGTATATTACTTACCGTGCGGTCGCCTAAATTCCGTATACGACAGTTTAAGGTGGCTGTTTTGCCGACCAACGCGGTGACATTTCGAGAAGCTGACACATCAAAGTACGGTCCACGGTCGAGTGGTTCTAACGACCGATTCTCGTACATCTCCTGATCGGACGTGCTCCGGGCAAGTCCTTGCACTTGAAGAAAAAGGACGAGGACACTATCAAAGGGGTTGTTCCAGCCTGGCAGATTAGGATGGATCGTTCTTTGACCAAAAGGTAATTACGTATCATGAATATTTTAAGAAAGAAAATACATGTCACGTTTAATCGTTCGTTATCGAAGTTTCATGAATCCTCGATTAACCTCTAAAATGCGATATTCTTTCTACGCGAGTTTGTATATTACGAGAACGTACAAGTACGGTCTTCGAGGAGAAGGGATTAACTTTTAAGGTTTACCGCGACACGGTGTAGTCGGAAGTGGTGAGAAATCATTTTAAAGTGTCCGGTAAGTGATACGTGGTAAGAACGGCGATATATCTTTCTTCAGCTCGGACACAGACCTTGCTACGCTTTGTCTCATAATGTATTACAGCTAAGCTGGTAAAGTTTCGCGTTGCAGTTTCAGAAAGTACTTCATCTCATAATACGTGGCGGTAAGGTGTCACCGAGAACCGTTGTCGCTTTGCTCTTTTGTGTATCGCGCGAGTGAATGAAACGCGTCTCGGTCGCGTTATTACAATAAAATGTTCCAAGGATTTCTTATCGTTTTATCGTATTACTTGTGCTACGCTTGCATCGGGGAAAGCAACGTTCTTTCAACGAATGGTTAAACGTGCACGAGAAATTGCATTCTTCTCCCTTTTACCTCTAATTTACTGTTTTAATTTTCTGCATAATTCATGAAACATGTCACTGCACGATATTCAAAGAACAATCTCCGTACTCGACGTATACGCGTGACTGAAGGTTCACTTACCGGAAAATAATAAACTGAGGGTAAAAAATAAACCCTTCATTTTCTATTTCTCTCTCTCATAGTCGATCCACGATGTTGTTCGATATATCCGTCGCGGTATCGAATAAATGTACACCAGAACTGATCTCGGCTTGTTCACGATGAAATAGAATTTGTTACAGGTGTCAAGTTTTTTAATCACGAGTTTCACTTATCAATTATTTCGATGTTATCCCTTCTACGCTGCGTTAATTTCCTCCCACGGTGATGCAATAATCCAGAAACGATCGTTCTATATAGCATCTCGCGACAAAGGCGCGGAATTAAAATCGAGGAGAAAGTAGTATCGGACGAATCGATAGCATCCGATTTTCCTTCGGTTTTTCACTCGATGTCGCCATTATGTCTTTGCTATTCGGGATCTACGCGTCGGGATGCATTGAAATCGTCCTCGATACTTCTTCCTCATAGCCTCTTGTTTCCTCGATATACGACTATTCTCGTCTTCCCGCTACAACATGCCTTTTATACGCTCGTTGGGTAATCCGTCAGCGTCTTTTTTTCTCTCTCTCTCTCTCGGTAAAGTAGCAGTATTCCGTAAAACAGTACGGATAAAAGATATATCCAATCGTGTCTCGTTTCCTTTCCCCGGTGTATTCTATTATGCAAATCAAATTGCCCCGACGAATTCGAAGCGACGGCCGACTCGATTTCCTTGATCAGCCAGTTTTAAAGAACGAAACAAAATATATATTTGTCAACGATTTAAAACGATTCGAGGTTACGCGCGAATGAGAAAAAGGTAGGAGAATCGAGAGCGTGTCGAGAGTTTAGTTCTCTGCGAGGAGCACGATGGTCGTAGAACAAGCACGATAAAACTCGTGTACGAATATCCGAGCGAAACTGACAGTGCATGCGACACGGCCCGGGAGAGACGCCCTGCCATCTGTCCTTGCACACGCCCCGCTTTCCCTCACCTGAAGTCAACGGGAAGATGGGGTAGACATCGTCCGGCGCAAGCGTATCCCTTTAGTTCTATTACAGCCACCCACACTTGTGCGAGCGGCAAGCGTGCAGCATCCCCTAGTCAAGAATCGAATTCCATGCCGGCCGATCGTTGTCATTGTCGTACACGTGTCGTGCGCTAACACGGCTCGTGCCACCGTAACAAATTTCATGCAACGCAACGCACCGAGCCAGCCACCCTTCCGCGTCGTCGTTTTCTTCTGAACGTAGGGTCGAATCGAGCGTATCGCTTCGATCGTCGCTTTTACAAAAGGCGGCTAACGAAACGAGATACTTATCTCGAGTGTTTCGACCATTGGATTACTTTCGAAGAATATCAGATCGTCGCGTGACGCGTTCCATTGATACGAGATTTTGCCTTTAGCAGTATACTGCAATTTTTTAGTTAAATTTCAAAAGCCAAAGATGGAACTTTATCCTTAAGCGAATTTCCGTGGAACGAGGAAACATCGAAATAGGGAACTGTCACTTTAGCAAATCTCCTCGGAACAAGATTTCGGCTAATCTCGGAAATTTCGTGTGCCACCGTGTAAAAGCAAGCTTAGGATACCTTTCGCTTACCGTCGAAACGTCGTTGCACATTTTTCACAGAATCTCGGGCTGGTCTTACGAAAAAGGGGTTGAATAATGGGAGTTCGTAGCATCACCGTGAAAAAGCAGGGGAACACCAAAGCATACCATCCCCCCCTTTTGTTCTTTAAAGTATAATGGACATGCATTGCATCTCCTTCTTGCAGCTTTTTAATGTACAATTTACACGATGGAACTGAAAGAAAAATCGATGCCCCAAATCGTTAGAAGTGAGACGCACAAAAGACGTACGGCTTTGGTCTTAAGGGACTCGATTTTAGCTCCTTTTTCTCTTCGCTAAGATCCTCTGTCTTTTCCTTTCTACCTCGGTAATCATGTAACAGTGCGTGATCATCGAGGATCACAGAAAGAGGAACGATTCCTTCCATGAAAGTAAAACATGCGACACACGTATCTTTCATAAGTTTATCTTTCAATTGATTTATACATCTACACTTATAAATGTCCGAGATGCGACTAGTAAAAATGGAACTTTAATTAGAAATCGTCACAGATCTATTAAAATTGCTTCAAAAATAATTAAACAATGAATAATGATAGAGTATAATAGAATTCGTATCACATAATATAAATTTATGGTTATAAAATCGGGATTTTACATTTAGGTCAATCGATAGCGGAAAATGTATGCAGATAATAATTGTTAATGGTTATAGGCGAATATTACAATTAGTAAAGATATTATCGGAGATCATGCTTAACAAACATTTGGTTATTTTACATTGCGGTTATAAATATCTCCGATATTATCGACCCCGAATGCATTTCATACTTGATTCCACAAGCTACGTAATGGCAGCGACTACAGATCCATCTTGGAGCTGTTTGCAATTGCAATTATAGGTTATGTTCAAAAATGACGATTTTATAAATCCTTTGCTACGTCTTTGAAAGGTGGTAATGCAGTTACTTTTGCGTTGTTTAAGTGTACAAAACGATTGAATTAATTTGAATTCAGCTTGAAATTATGTCATGTACTGTATATAGTGTAAATTTGCCCACGTTCTAACCGGTCGGTCGGTCTAAGAAAGGAAACAGTGGTTCCTATAAATCTAGTATTTGTATCAAATATTTTGCGAAAATGGAAGATCAAGCTTGTCCACGATGCAAAACTACCAAATATCGAAATCCATCATTAAAAATGATGGTAAACGTTTGTGGGCATACATTATGTGAAAGTTGTGTTGACTTGTTGTTTCTTAAAGGTTAGTTACTTTGTTACAAAAATAGTATTCAATAACAGATATCTTAACATTTATTGTGTGATCTTAAAGGTTCAGGATCTTGCCCAGAATGTAAAATTCCTTTGAGAAGGGCTAATTTTCGTATACAGTTGTTTGAGGATCCAATGGTAGAGAAGGATATAAACATAAGAAAGAAAGTACTTAAAGATTTCAATAAAAAGGAGGAGGATTTTGCAACACTGAGAGAATATAATGATTATCTAGAGGAAGTTGAAACAATAATATATAATTTAGTTAACAACATTGATGTAGTAGAAACAAATAAGAAGATAGAACAATATAAAAAGGACAACAAAGAACAAATAACAAAGAATAAATCTAAACTTAGCAGGAGTGAATATGAATTGGAAGAGATGATAGAACTAGAGAAACAGAAAGAAGAAGAGAGAAGGTTGGAAATAGTCAAGGAAGAAATGGAAGCTAAAAAGAAGAAGGTTCGTGAAAAAGAAGCACTGATAGATGAGCTCACATTTTCTGAAGGAGATGCTAAGAATATTGTAGAAACGCATGTCTCTGCTATGCAAGCATTTAAAAAGGAAGTAAAGGCAGTACTACCTAAAGCTACTCAGTTTAGCACTGGAATCAAATTTGGAAGCCAAGGAAGTCAAAATTATATGCCTATGCCAAAAATTGAAGAAGGACCCTTGTATTCTTACAATCCAATTCAAGATACAACAGATGGCCCCATACCACCTGGTTGGAGAGAATTACAAGCTCGTGGTTATGTCTCTAACGTACGTGGAGAATCTTCGTCGGAAAGGGCAGGAGGATTCAAGGCACATGTTGCATGTTTAAGAGCTTTACAGGAAGCTATGGCTGGTTTATATTATAATCCCTCACAATGCCAAACAGAATTTACAAACGTATGACAACATAGACTGTTTAATTATTGAAATATCTTTAACTTTGTATATAATAATAGCACTCAATGGTCAATTTATTAAATTACCACATACAGCAGAAGTTTTGACATGCCAACCTGATCACATAAATGTGATATAATCAGAAATTACAGATACATGTGCCTTTCATATTTATGTAATATTTAGTATTACATATTGTGTGTCAAAATGATAGTACTAGTACAGTACCTGTCAATTTATCAAGTATATATAAGAATAATTTTTTTTTATTTTGTTAAATACACCGATGTTATTAATCTTTTATAAATCTATCTTCATTTTGCTCCACCAATTAAAAGTATATCTAAAGTTTGTATTTTATTATCATGTCAAAGAAAATGGTACTGTTAGTGCCATCTAACAGTGAGCGAATCAGATTATCCCAAAAGAAAATATCTTTTTCGAAAAATAAAAAAACTTAGAACTATACTAATTCTCGAAAGTATTCGATTGTCGCAATTTGTTTTAAATCTTAAAACTAATAATGAAATTATTGTATTTCAATGCGGTGTGAAATAGGGGTGGTTATAGGGAATTGAAATGCTCAGCCATCTAGCAGTAGTGGGCTGATACTAGTAGAACTGAATTCTACTAAGTAAGAATGATCGATAGATCCTTCTGAAAAAAGGAATATAGCTGTTGGTATCGAAGCAATTTTCCGTTACCGTCAACGTGCCGTAGTCTGTTGCAGTGCGAAGTGTTTCATATTTTTGTACTAGGATAGAGCAGATGGCGTTCGTTCTCGAGGCACAAATTCACGACCCTTCCAGAACAAAGGCATGTTTAGTCTTGTTAGACCTGTAGTTACTGGTTTAAATGAGCGTATTTAATCTTAATTCCTACCACTAGGAGCACTGCGAAAAAGTACCAAGCGTTGTTGGTATAGTAGGATGCGATAGGAAACTTGTAAGGGGTCTATGATAAATCTATTTTACATTTCGTTTTTTATTAAATATTATATACCAATAAAACATAAAAGTCATTTATTTTGCTAAAGAATGTAATTGTTGACTTTGCTAGTTTCGTCACTCACCACTAGATAGCGTTGGCGGTACTGTTTTTTAAGCACGCGTTAATATAAAATATAAAAAACGGTGTGAAAATGTGGCTTACATAATGTCTTTAAACTATTCAAACAGTTACCTTATAATAATGGAACGTTCTCTCTTGTTGCTGTACAAAATTAAGTAGGTATTAAGAATTTAAAATTCAAGGGTGAAAGTTACCCTTTTGAAGGAGTAGTTTAGTTGTAAAAGAGCGTGAATTTAAATTCTTGTAAAACAATAATGTAGAAACAAGTATTTCCAGCATAGATTGTTAGCAGTGCAAAATATTTCATATTTGTGAAATATTCAATAGTGTAATGGAAATATTTAAAGGCCAATGCATCAGATGTCATATATTCTATAAAATATTCATTCAACTACATTTAACTTCGTTATAAAGTTCGAGATAACTAATTGTATGCTAATTAGCTGAAAAATTCTACCAATTGTTTTATCGAGTACTCTTTTTAAATATTACTTCGATAAAAACCATTTAAATGAGAAATCTACAACGGTTCGTATTTCACGTTTATTTAAACCGATATATAAAGAAATACTAAGTAAGTTTGATACGAGTTCACGGTACGACGAATAAAACAATGACATTGATACTCATAACTTAAACAACATTCTCAATTTCAATTTGTTGTTTTGCAGGTGCCTCTCTGTCGTCGTAAGAAGCGATTGTATTACAAAACTACAAGGTTAGTATGTTCTTAACCAAGAGTATTTTTTACTCTTTTTTTCTAAAAATAAACGTTTTTAATCAAGTTACGGAACCCGGTTCAATCAAGACAAAAATCTTAGTTACGCCAATGCTACGTCCTGCAGAAGGAATGCAGCTCTAGCATTGCAACAAAACGAATCGAATTCGCAACAAAGTTCTCGCCGTATGGCTCCGAAATTATAGAAATCGAACGTTTAACTCGATGATTGTTTGATTATTTTTCATTCTTATTTCGAAAATTGTTAGGGAAACTTGCAAAAACAAATACGGTGTGACGAACGAATCGCAAGCGAGCGAGCGTACGCGTGAATCTCCGAGACAGGACGAAGTGCCGAAATGCTTAATTAACGCAAGTGGAGCCTCGCTGGTTCTCTCGCGAAACAGCCAATCGCGTGCGCGCAAGTGACTGGAGGCTCCACCCATTCAGAGAACCCCGTTGCCCGTTTCCTCGTGACTACCAGCCACAGTACGTACGCGACCGTCTACGGAGTGGTGTCTAGTTCGCGTAAGCTACGCTTTTCTTCAAGTTGAATTATTCTTTACCCGTTAATATCGGTGCATCGTGACATTCGACATCCCCGATTTATCCCCGTGATTCTGGATTTCAAATTGGTTCCGTCGTTTCGTTTCTTTTCGACCGGCTAACTTTGTTCGAAAAGCGCGCCACTGTCGGCGGACTTCGTGTGATAGAAAAACAAGTGCACTCGAAAAAGAGATCGATTCTTTTAACCGCCACGATTTCGCGCATCGATCACGAAGTCAGTGATACATCGGGAAAAATGTAAGAAGGAATAGCGATCGAAGGTAGAAAGAGAGTAAAAGAAAGTAAAGGCATCGTGTTGTGGGACCGGGTACGTCAGACACAGCGATCAGTTCGGATAACGGGCTACGTTCGATCTCGATCTGTCAGCCTCGGGGATCGGCTATCGATGCGAATGCTCGATCGATATCGACGCTCGTAAGAATGCGTGGCTGAAACAGAGCACGGACTGACAAGCATTGTCCTTTCTTTTTTTCCATCGAAACAACCCAACGATCCACAACAGTCCAACGAATCCTAACGAAGATGCGGCCCCTTCTGACGACCTTCTTCGTCGTACCATTTCTACTCGTCGCGTGGCAAAACGGTGCGCAAGCCAACTGGTGGTGAGTTTTTACAAGATTGTTTATGTCTACTTGATAGATAAGATCTCTCGGTCCATGCCTTTCAGAAGCTCGATCTTCTGTTAACGTTCTGTTATTACCTATATACGAGGCATGTGTCTCGTGTCGGGAATAATTCAAAGACGCAGTAGTAGAAAATCTTACTTTCGACTTTGTTCATGGAACGTATAGTGAATGTTTTTCCTTTTTAGTCGCTAAGAATAATTCTTGGGAAACGCGACATCTTTTGTTATGCGTATGGTACTTTAACCCTGAATAATATCTATTGTGTCTTTGACGAATATACATTTTTTTACAAGTGAACAGTTACTTGCGTTGGTACGCGATATCGCGTGAATGAGCAGTAGCAAATATATTAACTATCTAAATAATATATATTCGACTTCTTAGAAAGATAATCTCGATCGCTCGGAATATCTTTGATATTTTTCATATAAATTACACAGTTGCACGATAGAAATAGGAGCGACGAAGAAAGAGACAGGAACGAGTTTGTCGGTGGCGAGTTACATAAAAGCCGACCGCAAAGATAAATGTCCGTTTTGATAGGTGAAAAGAGGGAGGCATTAATTCGCGTAGCGGTCAACGATTGAGAGAACATGGTTTTCGCGCGTCGCTGGTAATCTCACGATCTACATTTGCGCGATCGGAATATCCGTTCGTGCAGAACTCGAGTTTCCGTTTGCGGCTAATTTTCACCTGGCAAAAGGAACGAGAACAAAGTTATCAGTCAGCTTAGAATCTTAGTGTCCCTCATTTTTTAGCGCGAAGTTCTCCCTAGACTCTCCTAGGGTTTTCCCCAATACCGAATTCTCTTTTTCCCTTAACCTCCCTTAACCTAAAATAAGGTTGATAAACCTTCGTTGCACTGAAGCGTACCGTTTTCTGAAACTGTTCCGTTGACCACATCGTGGTACAATCTATTTACGAAAACCAATATGATGTACGAGGTTTTCACCATAACCTCGCTATGGTGCGGTTGAAGTGACCAACGAATGGTTGCGTCACAAATCGGGAGGGCAACGTTATCTGCGACCTACGTCATCGTAGCCATGTGCTTTCAACATGTAAAATTTTATTTCGTGCAATTGCCAATTAATTATCGTCGTTGTACCATGACTATCAAATGGTCGGTCGTACGAAACGTATTACCCTAATGAAAGATACTTTTTTTATTTTTTACCCTAGCTCCGATACATAATCCTGTTTCGTATGATTAACGTTCAGGACGTGTGTTTAGACAGGAGCGCGAATTTATGGCAGGACGTTGTTTTGCAAGATCGTGTAAGAGTAAGGAAAGGAGAAAAAAAGGAGAAACTCTGTTGAAGTTTCGTGTTGACCGATCGAGTTGTGACTAGGGAGAGACGCAACTTTGATACGCGCTCGCCTTATAAGATTATGGCGGCATTTTTATACGCGCGACACAGCCGCATGGTATAAGTTCTCGCAACGTAAGCGTTTATTTTAGCATTTGAAATATACTATTGGCGAAGCGCAGCAGATATTCACGAGCGTAAAGCCACGATCATGTTTCCGTACATAGAAAGGCACGTAGTACTCGGTACGGAGGATGATGACGAAACGTTTGCTTTGAAGGACAATTTTCTACAGATCGTTTCACCTATTGTTCGTAGATACCGTCTGCGATACTTGTGTCACTCTTTTGTCGCATTTTATATTTCTGGTGTATCGTACAAGTCCGATCTCCATTGTCGTGTAAACTATCCCTTCCCTTTGACACCGTACGCATGAATTTCAATCTTATCCGACATTTTCGATTAGAAAATGGTGGCAGATAAATACTATTGATCGCGATAGGGGTTGTATAAATAGGTAAACGTAAAAAAATTGGTCGGCCTAAAGTGTCTTATAGACGAAGAAATCCGCTTCGATCGGACACGCGAGTGGCACGCACACGATCGGGGGAAGCCCCGATGATAGGGATGATAGGCCGCGCCGCTAGAGGATGCACCGTGTGCAGCCCGGTGTCGACGCGGCCCTTTAGGGCACGCTTTTAAAACGAGAAGGCCGCTGGCACGTTGACGTCCCTATGCTTCGGAGCACGATTCCACCGGCAGATTTTATTTCCGACAAACTGGTTCCCCGGGCGATTAATCGGCC